GAGTCCCTTTGGAATATCCAATGTCTGCGGCCAAAATGTTAGCATGCCCATGGCTTTAATACACCATCCAGAATATTTTCGCGATAGTATTCGCCATTTATTCTGTTACCACGGTCGTTTAATACGAGCGGAGAGCGACCATCGGCTGTTACGGCGGTCCACACCATCACCATGGCCGTCACTTGAGTTATGGTGGCCAACCGAAGGTGCACATTTGCAGCAGACCTCTTTGGCAAGTAAACACGATCATTTTTTTTTTTTTTTTTGTTTACAAACTGCTGGACAACGAATCTATCCTCATCGGAGAAAACCAAATTCGGCAGTTCACCAGTTCACTTTCGGCCAAGCGAAGCAACTCTTTAGCTCTAGTCTATTTTCTTTCTGTTGTGGTGTAAGTTCTTGCACTATTTGGAATTTCAACGGCTTTACTCCGAGCTCATTTTTCAATATTTGACGAATGGAAAATGTCGATATGTTAAGCTCACGAGTCCATTTTCGGCCACTGCGATGCGGGTTTCGATCAAGTCGCTTCCTTACTTTTTGAACCATTTCTGCTGTAGTTGCTGTTTTCTTCCGTCCACTTCCTTGACGTTGGGCTACGCTAACAGTATCAGGGTAACGAGCGATGTTACGAGACGGAAAAGATTTATTCACATTTAAATGGTAGAGTGCTCTAACGATAGCCACTTGTCGTTTTCCAGCCAAATATAAAGAAATAGAACTATCACGCTTGAATTCCATCACGAATAACTTTTTTTATGGAAAGTGTTCACCAAAATGCTTTAGTAAGCTTGTAAACAATATAATGAGCTGTCACTGGAATGATTTTAACAGCTGTCGGACGAGTTATTTAGAAATGATAGCAGTCTGAAGTTGGTTACTGTTTTATCATCTCACCCTATATAACTCAATAGTTCTGAAAATAAAACTCTCTTAACTTATTTAATAATTCTTTGTGGCATTTTACTTCCTATAGCACATCCATAGCAAGATAAGGGGTTAAGATGCTATTTTGTAAGTAGTTAATGGTGTCACAATTTAATTTTTGCTCTTCGAAGCCTTCATAGAGTAGCAGACCTTCCAGAGGTCTGTTATATATAGAAGACAGAATACCTGCAGCTTTACATAGAAGACATATTATTAGTTAGAAACAGATACAAGTTTTCTATTTATTTAACTCCTTTTGGTTTCTGTTATGGCAAGTGTAAGCAATTAAATCTGAAAACGCAGAAAAACACTCAAAGCAATAAGAAATGCCTTTGTACCCTAAGACAAGTTAATTTGCATAATTTTCTAAAATTTATTGGAATTTTGTCTCATCCAAAAAAGGGTACATCCCACCGTTAATTATGGTAATATATATTTTTTTCATTTTAACTAATTCATATACTACTCACTGTAAAAGACATCAAATCCTCCTCCTATTGTTCTACAACTAATGAAAATTACATTTATGCCATGGAAATAATTGAAAATATAATCAACCCTTAATTGACACCCTGTACGTGAAGATTAAAGTTTCTCCAAAGGGAATACGAAAAATATATCCATGGCAGAATAGTGCTAATTATTTAAGGCTAAGGATTTGAGCGGAAAGCAAGCAAGCAACATCAACATCAGCAATAATATTTTTTCTTCCATTCGATATTTTTTGTCTTCAGCAGAAATACTTTTACTCGTAGTTCATACATATGGATGTATGTAAGAAGTTATGTGCATGTGTCTTATAACTTCTGTAATTTGTGATGGTGTATGTACTGTTGAACGTTACGAATATGAATGGGAAGAAATTTGTAAAACAAACAGGAATTAATATATTGACGTCTTTGCTGTTTCTGTTCTCGTCGTCGTCGTCGACATCGTCTTCGTCGCGACATAAATATAGACAAAGATGTAGCTTAATAAATGTAAATTGAATGGTTGGCAAACAAAAACACATCATCATGCATACATATGTATGTATTTCTTGGCTTTATACAAACAACTAAATGAATATGCATTAATGAATATAACCAACCACTCATATGAACACACACTCACACACATTGCCTTCGATTAAGAGATGTTCATATAATTATAATGAAAGTATTCGCCAAAAAAACGGCATTACACTTAACTACTACGTACACAAGTACATATTGAGTTACATACAAACATGTCGAAGACACATGTCTACCTTTGTAATTAATAATTAAAACAAGGGTGGGGGGAAAGAAAATGCGGTAATTTTGCTGTTGTACCTATTATTTTTTTGTGTTTTTCCTTTTGTACCGATTATACATAATATAAATAAAAATTCATAAAATATATGTGTACGTATCGACATACTTGACATTATTATATACTTTTATGTGAGCGTGTGTGTATATGTTCATTTTGAACAGTTCCGAGGTAACATTTGTTGATATTTCCAAGAAATAAGGTAACACTTGTTATGGTAATTACATTTTAAGTGAAATATCATAATTATGATATAATTAAATTAATTGGAGGTAAAATGTATAATAAGAATATAATCAGCGGGGATAATCTGTGATACTCTATTCCATTACTGTTATTTTTTTATTAAATAAATGGAAATAATCCAATAGTTTTTTAATAATAGTAATATGAATTTACTATTAAAAATAACAATCTTTAAAGAATTATGTATTTTTTTCCTGAAAAACGTTTAATGTATTGTATCAAAGCGCCGCTTCGATTTCCTCACTATGTAGTGTAATTTTGGGCATATATCCACCACCTGTTTTTTTTTTTTAATCGATCATATAGGTCCATTTTTTTGGTAGTGTCTGCCCCGAAAATCCATAGAAATCGCCTGTAAATTTACATTTTGGATTCTATAAGATTTACTCCTCTCAATAATATTTCATATATGCCAACTTATTCCGTGTTCGTCACGTTTGACGATACCTTCTGACTTTCATTATTTTAAAGATTTCGGTCTACATTTTTAATAAGATTCCCCTTTAAGGGTATAGCTCCTATAAGTCGAGTTTCAATTTCAAGGGCAGCTCTTTTGAAGGTGACCAATATTTGTGACCGGTTATTCTATTTTCCGTGATTGTCCCCTTTTTTATATCCTCCACTATATGCATACTATGGAGGGGGCTATAAAAAGGGACGCACATATATTCTTGAATCAGTACAAAATTCTATGTCGATGGCCGTCCGTCTGTGGAAATTACTTTAGCTTCCGAATGAAATGAAATAGAAAAAAATTTTACTCACATGTGTGTTGGGTCTGCTGGACTTTTAGTGCTTTAAATGCGCTATATACGTTTTGGTATAGTCCCCATATAACTATAACAACAGATTTATGGTTTTTGGGTGTTTAAGTCATAATTTAGCGGTATGTCCTTATATTCGGCATTTTTAATGATTTTAGCGAAATTATTCGCCGAAATTGTTTCAATTAGGTATTTTTAAATTTGAAATCGGTAGTACAAAAAAAATTAAATAAAATAAAATATACTTATGCAGGTCCACGTCTTGGTATAGCCCTCATGTAACGTTTTTCATTTTAGAGGTACTTTTCGACGGATTTATTTGAAATTTTTTAAGTTCCTTCCAAATTTTGGAGGGTATTCAAACTTCGGTCCGGCCGAACCTATTGCTTTTTTTTACTTTTTTATGCTTTTATGCTGATACGGCGATTTGAAACATGGACCTTAGGTCGTGTAGTCCTCGTGTAGTCCTTATAAGAGTAAGTTATGTTGCTTTGCATATATTATAAGAACAGCAGATTATTTCTAGCCTACTGGAAATACAGAGCCTATGTAGAGTGTGTGCAGTTGTCATGACTAGTAATGCTGGAAGAATAACAGGTTCCTTTTTAATTAGATGAGCATCGACAGAAATATTATCATGAAACGAAGACTAGCCATGAGGTGACTTTAAATAGCTTGTTACATAACTTGAGCACCTTATTTTTTCCACATACATGGTTGCCCATATTCGACAGACCCATCTGGCAACGCCATAACTTTTGACAGAGATGTCACATCGCTTAATGACATACCGCGTTTGAAGCGTCAGTCCAAGCAGAGCGCTCTGAAATAGTTAAATGTACATTCAACAGAAGAAGTCAATTGTGAAAAAAGTGAGAAGTGCGCCTTCTAAGAACACCATTAAGCGTTTATACGAAAAATTTTCAACTGGTAAGGCTCTTTCTAATCCGAAGAGACCATATAAAAGTCGACCAAGGCGATCGGCCGAGAATATCGCTGCCGTACGAGCCAGTGTTGAGAGGTCCCCAAGAACATCCCAAAAACGCCGTACTTAGCAGTTGGGCATGGCTCGGTCCACTTTACAACGGATTATTCGGATTGATTTGCATTTGTTCCCGTGCAAAATTCAATTGACGCAAAGAATGTTGCCTGCGGACAAGCCTCGTCGATTGGAATGGGCCCAAAGGTCCGTCGAATATGGGCAACCCTGTATATAGAAACTGAAAAGCTGAGAACAGATTTTCAAAACCTAGCTATCGTAGGCTCAATAAGAAAAAGCCGTAATTGTCTCTAATATACAGAAGACCAATTCTATATTCCAAGCAGCTTCCCAAAAACAACCTCATGGTAGCAAAAATATAATCACATTAGTATATTGTATGAATCATCCCTATATTCAACAATTTGTATCTACTGCACAAGATTTAATGGTTTCTCTTTTACTATTATTATATATTATATTACATGGTTTTATTTATTCACATAAGTCGTTTTAATTATATTTTCGTCTTCATATATATTTGTTGTGTGTATGTATCTCACTCGTGTCTTTGTTTTTTTCTTCTTTTTGTTGGCATCCAATGTTTATTTCAGTTCCTTTTGAATAACAATATGCCAAAGAGTACGCAACAACAAATTATTATTAAAGTTTGTCCTAATGAGAAAAATGTATAAATATATTTTGCTTGATGATAACAATCTTTATTAAACTTATTTATATATGTCTAGCATATCTTTAATCATATTATCTTTCCTGTTTTCTATTTTCAGAACAATTTCATATTTTTGTGGGTGATCTAAGTTCAGAAATTGAAACTCAACAGCTGCGTGAAGCATTTACACCATTTGGAGAAATATCGTAAGTATCCTACAAATAGTTAAATTGTTTATTAAATATATAAGAAATTTAAAAAGAAAAATATACATATAGGCATAAAAATATAGGGATTAAAAAATTAAAAACAACTCAAAAAATAAATATCGCATCCCACCACGGCAGCTAATATTGCAGCAAATTATTTAAGAATACCATCCATTCATCACTCCCTTTCTCAATTAAGATTTATTTCCTTTGAATATCAAAAATTTCCGTCCACTCAAGTACGTTTCTAACCCTACCTGTAACGGTAATACACAACAGAAACATTCATCCTTCCGGTAATATCAGTTGAGGGCAAGGATAGATTTTACATTTTCCTCTAATAGACCTAAGGGAACAATTTTTTTTCTCTCGTTCACATTAAACTTTTGTAAAAGCAAAGGAAATCGAATCAGAGTTTTGCAAAAACCCTTCTATACTCAACAAATTAAAGTTCTTCTAAAAACAACACACACACATTCACACTCACCCAGTCTGACAATCACCCTTTAACATCAGAGGAAACCATTAGGGGCAAACAGACATACAAACATACATTCATCTTAACATACATATAAAATATTCCACAAGCGGCATCCTGTGAAAAACAGCCTTCCATGTCTTTAATTCAAATGATGAAAATAAATAAAGCGTGAATAGAGACACCATTGATGACTGGCAGGCAGGCAGGATGGCAGACAGACACACAGACAGACAATTCAGTTGCCAGCATTATCATAATCAACACCTTCGTTAACACCACCGCAAATGCCAGCAACCGAAATGATGAAAACTTTGAAGAAGATGTAACATAATACAACAATCCTTATAAAGATACAACGGCAGCCTAAAAACATTAACACACACACACCCACTCACGTATACATGTATACTTTTCGATTTACATACACATGGCCTAGATAGAAATGTCTTAAACTCGAAGATATCATCAGAGAATTTTCGAAACAGAAGGCTTTTGGTTGGTTGGCTATTGGGGCCTTTTACATTAAACACCAACTGATACCACCAACCTAGGATTACACAATTTCATACGACAGGAAAGAAAAAAAGGTAAGGGTTATAACTTGGAATCAGAGGGAACTAAAATATTGGTTCCTATTACGATAACGGATGAAACATATATATATATTTGATTTACTTGCTTTTAGGCTCAATCCGGTTAGGTGTGAGAAAATACATCTAAACAAATACACATATGACTCACAATAAAATTGAACGAAGAAATATATGAGGACCATATCCAAATTTGGAGAGATTCCCCCACCAATTTCAATAGGGTTTCGTCCTTTGGTCTAAAAATGAATTGTGATCAATCTCATTTAAATCAGATAATAAATACGGCCTGTTTTTAGTATATCTTTTTGGGTGTGTATTGAGTAGAAGAAGATATACAGTGCAGAGCACAAGAAATTTGGACTGGCCGAATTTTTTACTGTTTACCAGCTTTATATCTCCCAATCGTAGCGCGGTGGAATCCATCAGAATGTACCTTTATATGGGCGCTATTCCGAAAAGTAGACCGGCATTGTAAAGAGAGAAGAGGTTATCTACCCCCTTAGAAAGCAAGATACCAAATAAGGGCCAAATTAATTGAGAGATGTGGCTAAGACCTCGGAAATAGCTTAAATCAGGGGAAAACTTCATATGAGGCTATACAAAAATGTAGGCTCATGTTGATATTTTTCGCAAGCATGGTTTCTTCTTTCTAGGAACTCATATTACCAAAAATTTGCGAAATTAGTATGAATAAATAAAAAAGCAGTAAGTTCGGCCCGGTCGAAATTGGAATACCCTCCACCGTTTGGAAAGAATTTGGACATTAAAAAAACAGTGAACAATGTCGCTAGAATCACAAAAAATACCGAATATGAGGAGGTACCGTTAAAAGGTGCTATACGAAGACCAGGACCTGCATATGTAATTTCCTGTCATAGGCTTTAGTACCCATTAGGAACTTAAAATTCAAAGTTTTAAACTTTTCCGGTAAAAATTGTGAAACAAATCAGCAAACTACCAAATATAGGGAGGTAACAAAGACGTGGTAGTACCCATTATGAACTTCAAATTCTAAATTTAAAATATATCCTGTGAAAAGTGTGACACAAATAATCAAAATACCGAAATTGGGGGATACAATTATAAGGGAGCTATACCAAAACGTGGACCTATTTAAGTTTTGAAATAGCAAAAGTCCTGCAAACCCAACACACATCTGAGTAAAATTTTACCAACCTACTTAATTTTGTTCGGAAGCTAGAGCGATGTCCACAGACTGACTGATAGACATCGCTAAATCGACATAGAATTTTATGCTGATCAAGAATATATACATTATATACTTTGTGGGTTCTAAAATTATATTTCCAGGTGTAAAAAACGAAATGACACACTAAGTTTACCATCCATACTTGAAATCGGAGTATAACTTTTTTACGAGGGCTATACCAAAACGTCCGGTGTTTTGTACATAATTTCAAATTCAAACTTCTATCTTTAATTTTGCGAAGAATAGTGTAATATTTTTTTTAGCTCCTTGTGTATATTTGGGCTGACAACCCAAAATATTTTGGGGATTGATCCACGAGCTGAAAACTATCGCCTCCGCAAAAAATGTCTAAAACTTTTCTGAGGCTACCGCTCTTCCCTACAAGCTTCGGGAATAGTTCCACCGACAACGACATATTTTCAGAGCGGTAAATTTAATTGAAATCATATCAGCCGTTTTACTTAGTTGTCAATGATATCAGAAATCAAATTTTCACCAAAAATATTCTCTGCCAACGTAAATTCATCGCTCGTTGCCAAGTTGCAATATTACACCATATTTTTATCTGCTATCAATTCCACTTTATGCAAAGGCCATCTCTCGGGGCTCTTTTCCAACCCTTTCATTTTTTCACAACCCTCTTTCATATAGCAATTCCAACGAGCATACAAGTCTTATATATGTACGTACATATGAACATAAAATCTTAACATTTCATTTGAATATTGTTTTGTTGATTAGGAAAATCTATTCACATGTAAAATTGCTAGAATTTTTATCGCTTCCTTTTGCCCCGTTTTCCAACGACTTTGTCGTTATCACAGCATCATCAATGGAAGACATGTTTCAGATTTTATCACTTTCAAATTTTAATCAGAAAAATATTCGTATTGAAATGTTTATTGTTTTTTGGGATATATAATACTTTCGTTAGAAAAAAGTTTGCTGCCTTGACAACAGAATATTCAATTTATTTCAAACGTGTTATCTATTTAGAAAGCGAAAATAATATTAAATTGTTCAAGTTATGCGGGGATGGAAATTGTATTTTTTAAGCATGGAAGTTCATATTAAAGGGTACTTGTTTGTGCGACTGTGTAAAAAAGAATTTTAAAAATTTTTATTCAGTTAATAAGAAGATGTAACAAACAGAACTGAAACTGACACCTAATTTTTGACATCGAGCCAAATTTAGAATGCATATTATTAGAAATTTTTTATTCAAGCCAGTTTCCATAGCGGAAATTTGAAAACAAAATTAGCTGGAATTTGAAATCATAAAACACTTAAAAAAAAGCTGTAAGTTCGAAGGGGCCGAACCTTGACTACCCTCCACCATTAGGAACGAATCTGACAAATCAAAAAATAAAATCCGTTAAAAAGTTTGGTTAAATTTTAAAAATACCGAATTTAGCCGTTATATTAGGGTCTATACGACGACGTGGATGTGTATAGGCCATTAGAAAATTCAAATGCGAAATTTAAAAAAACCTGTGAAAAATGTCGCTAAAATCATCAAAATACCGAATATCGGAAGGTACCGTTATATGAGGGCTATACGAAGTCGTCGACCTGCACAGACAATTTTCTGTCATAGGATGTAGTATCTATTAAGAATTTCAAATGCCAAATATGAAACAATTCCGATGGAAAATGTAGATAAATCATCAAAAATACCGAATATTGGGAGATACCGTTATATGGGGGCTATACGAATACGTGGAACTACAGTCTAAGACAATTTTCTGTCATAGACAGTAGTATATATAACGAACTTCAAATACCAAATTTAAAACAATTTCGGTGAATAATGCCGCTAAAATAATCAAAATACCGAATATCGGGAGGTACCGTTATATGAGGGCTATACGAAGACGTGGACCTGCACAGACAATTTTCTGTCATAGGCTGTAATAGCCGCCATCAACTTCAAATACCAAATTTGAAACAATTCCTGCCTCAAAACCTGAAATTAATGAGAATATTTATGGCATAATTTCACCGTTTCTCTTTTTTCACTCAAGAATTTAATGAGAATTAAAAGTAACAGCGGTATCCCTTCCCGGTTATTTCACAAAATGTTTTTTATTGTTCTTCCACATTTTTTTTCTTTTATACATTACTGCCCGCCCGCCCGATGTTAATATCTTAAGTCACTGTAATTCATTGCTAACGACAACTTAATTCCATGTTGAAACTAGAAAATGTTACTGTGAAAATCTCATTGAAAATCGTCTTAGCAGTTTGCTGTCTGGAAGTATAATTTAGCGCATTTCCGCCTCATGACACTCGAATGCCACACAAAGTCTTTAGATAACAATCTACGTAATAGGCAGTGGTGGTATAAACATACCGAATGAAATACATCATCAGCTGTCATATACTCGTATATCATCGAAGACTAACAACAACCACAACAATAATGAGAAGAGAAAGAAGAAGAAGAAGAAGAAGAAGAAGAAGGCGATGCGACTGAAACAGATGTAAAGTCCTTATGAATATTTCATAACAAATTTGACACATTAAGCTTGTTGTTGCTATGTGGTTGAATTCTTTTGCAAAATTTAAATGTTATGACATTTAAAAAATTATTTTTTTTTTTTTGTCGGAGAATGGGAAAAAATCTTGAAAAATTATACTGATGACTTATAGGACTGAAGTGAGGTGGGGGAGTCATGTCAGATTTAATAATTTTATTAAATGTTGCATATGT